GCCTCTAGAGAAGTAACATTGAATCTGTTCTACTCCTGTTACATTCCAATAATTTTGTTACTGTTTTCCTCAAGCCTTGCCTCTGCTACACTTTCTTCTAAGCCAAACAGCCTGCACAAGAAGAAAAGCCAAATCAGGGACATTAAATATCAGCTTCACAATCAAATAAGTAAATCCTTCTTTAATTAGTAGTCCCTTTATAAAACAGCTCCTAAGTTGATACTGATAATTACTGGGCTTCCTCACAGGGGGAAACGGAGAAAGAGGAAGGGATAGAAGGAAAGAGGAAGGTAGAAGGGGGGAAAGAGATGGACGGAAGGAAGGAGGAAAGGAAGAAGGGAAGGAGGAAGAAAAAGGAAAGAAGGAGGGAGGGAAAAAGGAGGAAAGGAAAGAGAAAGGAAGGGATAGTAAAGAGGGAGGGATAGAAGGAAAGATGAAGGTAGAAGGGGGAAAGATGAATAGAAGGAGGAGAAAGGGAGAAGAGGAAAGAGGAAAGGGAGGGAGGGAAGAAGAGAGAGGAGAAAAGGAAGTAAGGAAGGAGAGAGAAAGGGAAAAGAGAGAGAGATGGGAGGAATGAAGGAAGGAAGGCAGCAGGGAGGAAGGAATGAGAGAGCGATGGAAAGGAAAGGGAAAAGAGAGATGGATGGATGGAAGGAAGGAGGAAAGGAAGAAAGGAGGAAGGAAGGAAGAGAGGGGAAAGTGGATGGATGTGAAGTACCAGATATGTGCACCATTTTCAACTATGCAGGAGAATGATGGGAGAAGGTGAACGGAACAAGAGGAAGGAAAACGAGAAGGAAGGAAGGAGGGAAGAAGGAAGGAAGAGGGAGAGGAAAGGAAGGAAGGAAGGAAGGAAAGAAGGAAGAAGAAGGAAGGAAGGAAGGAGAGAGAAAGGGAACAGAGGGAGAGATGGGAGGAAGGAAGGAAGGATGGCAGCAGGGAGGAAGAAATGAGAGAGGGATGGAAAGGAAAGAGGGGGGGAAAAGAGAGATGGATGGAAGGAAGGAGGAAAGTAGAAAGGAGGAAGAAGGAAAAAGAAAGAGAGAGGGGGGAAAGGGGATGGAGATGGAGGAGGGAGGGAGGAAAGGAAAGAGGGAGAGAAGGAAGAGGAAGGAAAAGGAAGGAAAGAGGGAGGGAGGGGAAAGAGATGGAAAGAAGGAAGGAAGAGAGAGAAAGGGAAAGAGGGAGGAGGAGGGAGGGAGGGAAGGGAGAAAAGGAGGAAGAAAGGGAGGAGAGGGAGGGAGGAAGGAGGAGGACAAGAAGAAGAAGAGGAGAGAGAAAGGACAGAGGGAGAGATGGGAGGAAGGAAGGAAGGAAGGCAGCAGGGAGGAAGAAATGAGAGAGGGATGGAAAGGAAAGAGGGAGGGAAAAGAGAGATGGATGGAAGGAAGGAGGAAAGTAAGAAAGGAGGAAGGAAGGAAAAAGAAAGAGAGAGAGAGGGGAAAGGGGATGGATGGATGGAAGGGAGGGAGGGAGGAAAGGAAAAGAGGGAGAGAAGGAAGAAGGAAGGAAAAGGAAAGGAAAGAGGGAGGGAGGGGAAAGAGATGGAAAGAAGGAAGGAAGGAGAGAGAAAGGGAAAAGAGGGAGGGAGGGAGGAGAGGGAGGGAAGGAAGGAAGGAAGGAAAGAAGGAAGGAAGGAAGGAGAGAGAAAGGGAACAGAGGGAGAGATGGGAGGAAGGAAGGAAGGAAGGCAGCAGGGAGGAAGAAATGAGAGAGGGATGGAAAGGAAAGAGGGAGGGAAAAGAGAGATGGATGGAAGGAAGGAGAAAGAAGAAAGAAGAAGGAAAGAAGAGAAGGAGGGAAAAGGAAGGAAGAAGGAGGAGAAAGAGGAGGAAGAAGGAGAAGGAAGGAAGAGGAAGGGAAAGAGAGGAAAAGGAAGGAAGAGAGAGAAGGGAAAGAGGGAGGGAGGGAGGGAGGGAGGGAGAAAGGGAAGAAGGAGGGAGGGAGGAAGGAAGGAAAGAGGAAGGAAGGAAGGAGAGAGAGGGAAAGAGGGAGAGATGGGAGGAAGGAGGAGGAGGAGCAGGGAGGAAGAAAAGAGAGGGGGATGGAAAGGAAAGAGGGAGGGAAAAGAGAGATGGATGGAAGGAAGGAGGAAAGTAGAAAAGGGGAAGGAAGGAAAAAAGAGAGAGAGAGAGGAAGGAGGAAGGAAGGAAGGAGGGAGGGAGGAAGAAAAGAGAGAGAAGGAAGAAGAAGGAAAGGAAGGAAGAGGGAGGGAGGAAGAGGAAGAAGGAAGGAAGGAAGAGAAAGGGAAAGAGGGAGGAAGGAGGAAGGGAGAAAGGAGGAGAAAGGGAGGGAGGAGAAGGAAGGAAAGAAAGGAAGAAGAGGAAGGAGAGAGAAAGGGAAAGAGGGAGAGATGGGAGGAAGGGAGGAAGGGAGGAAAGAAGGCAGCAGGGAGGAAGGAATGAGAAAGCGATGGAAAGGAAAGAGGGAGGGAAAAGAGAGATGGATGGATGGATGGAAGGAGGAAAAAAAGAAGGAAGGAAGGAAGGAAAAAGAAAGAGAGAGGGAGGGAAAAGAGGGAGGAGGAAGGGAGGAGGAAAGAGGGAGGAAGGAAGAGAAAGGAAAGAGGAGGGAGGGGAAAGAGATGGAAAGAAGGAAGGAGAGAGGAAGGGAAAAGAGGAAGGGAGCGAGGAAGTAAAAATATTCTCTGTGTGTATATATACACATATATACATTATCTTATATATAGTGAAAATATTGTATGTCTATCTATGTCTATCCATCTGATCTATAGTGAAAATGTCTGTGTGTGTATGTGTGTGTGTGTATACATATATACACATATACACAATATCTATCTATTCAACCTATATTGTAAATATTGTAAATATTGTGTGTGCGCGCGTGTGTGTATCAGTCTACCTACCTACCTACCTACCTACCTATCTATCTATCTATCTATCTATCTATCTATCTATCTAATATGTATACTTGTCTGTATCTCCTGAACTAAACTCTTTCCCTTAGGACCAATGCATTCCTATCAGCCATCAACATAACAACAACAACAACAACAACAACAACAACAACAATGACAACAGAAACTGAGCAGCAGCTTCCGGCAGTCGTGCTCAGCCATCTGTCCTCACTGTTTGTGGTTTCCTTCCCCCCCCCCCCCCCCCCGTGACACAGAAGCAAACTGACCGCAAATGCAAATTGAACAGGCGTGCACTTAACCTCACAAGACAGATGGCCAGCTGTCATCCAGAGAGAAAAGATAGCTTTTGAATGGCACTAGGTCCTTTTTAAAAACATTTCAGGGTCAATTGGGAGAGTCACCTGCTGGCTGCAATGCGGCAGAACGCTTGGCACTGCCAATTAACGTACACATTGTACCAAAAGACACACAGAAATGAAAAGGATCAGAAATGCATCCAGTCCAACCTCATTCCAAAAACACAACTCGATCCCTCCCAACAGATGGCCATCCAGCCTCTGTATTTTTTAAAAAACTCCAAAGGAGGAGGCTCCGCTGCACATAATCTACTGTCATTGAGTTTGGAAGGGGCACCCAAAGGGTATCTAGACCAAACCTGTTCCGAAAACAGAATCCGACCCTTCCTGACAGATGGCCATCCAGCCTCTGTATTAAAAACCTCCAAAGGAGGAAGCTCTGCCACACATAATCTACTCTCATTGAGTTTGGAAGGGGCACCCAAAGACCACCTAGACCAACTCCGATCTGGAAACACCATCCGACCCTTCCTGACAGATGGCCATCCAGCTTTGATATTGAAAACCTCCAAAGGAGGAGGCACCGCTGCACATAATCTACTGTCATTGAGCTTGGAAGTGGCACCCAAAGGGCCTCCAGTCCAACCTCATTCTAAAAACACAACTCGATCCCTCCCAACAGATGGCCATCCAGCCTCTGTATTAAAAACTCCAAAGGAGGAAGCTCTGCCACACATAATCCATTGTTATTGAGTTAGGAAGGGGCTCCCATAGGTTCTCCAGACCAACCCCATTCTGGAAACACAATCTGATCCCTCCCAACAGATGGCCATCCAGCCTCTGTATTAAAAACCTCCAAAGGAGGAGGCACCGCTGCACATAATCTACTGTCATTGAGCTTGGAAGTGGCACCCAAAGGGCCTCCAGTCCAACCTCATTCCAAAAACACAACTCGATCCCTCCCACCAGATGGCCATCTCTTCTGGAAACACAATCTGATCCCTCCCAACAGATGGCCATCCAGCCTCTGTATTAAAAACTTCCAAAGGAGGAGACTGCGCTGCACATAATCTACTGTCATTGAGTTTGGAAGGGGCACCCAAAGGGCATCCAGTCCAACCTCATTCCAAAAACACAACTCGATCCCTCCCACCAGATGGCCATCTCTTCTGGAAACACAATCTGATCCCTCCCAACAGATGGCCATCCAGCCTCTGTATTAAAAACCACCAAAGGAGGAGACTGCGCTGCACATAATCTATCGTCATTGAGTTTGGAAGGGTCACCCAAAGAGTATCCAGAGCAACCCCATTCTGGAAACACCATCCGACCCTTCCTGACAGATGACCATCCAGTTTTGGTGTTGAAAACCTCCAAAGGAGGAGGCTCCATCATACATAATCTATTGTAATTGAGTTAGGAAGGGGCTCCCAAAGGCCATCCAGACCAACCCCATTCTGGAAGCACAATCTGATCCCTCCTGACTGATGGCCATCTAACCTCTGCGTTAAGAACTTCAAAAGGAGGAGACTCCACGTAACACATAACTCACTCTCATTTATTTTCAAAGGGGACCCCGAAGGGCATCCAGTCCAACCTCATTCTGGAAACATTGGCCTTTTCTGCCGCAGCGTGACACCCTCGGCTCACGTTCACTCATATATATTCCTACTGTCAAGCTATCTTCCTATGGATGCAAGTGAGGATGGCCTTGGCCTCTTCTGCCGCAGCGTCACAGCCTTGGCTCACGTTCCGCTTGTGCCCACATCCCTTGCCGTGGCCACCCTGACTTCCCCGCAGAGACTGAGCACCCGGCGGAGCCTTACCCGACGACGTAGGCCATGATGGAGAGCTGGACCACCCGGTAGAGGATGCCCACCTTCTTGTTCTTGGCAATCACGTACTTCTCCGTCTTGTAGTCAAAGAGAGAGAGGCAGAGCGCCCGCCAGGCCACCTGGCCCATCCTGAGAGGAAGGGAGGAAGGAAGGAAGGAAGGAAGGAAGGAAGGAAGGAAGGAAGGAAGGAAGGAAGGAAGGCAAAGGAAAGGACAAGGAAAGGAAAAAGGGAAGGAAGGGAGAGAAGGAAGGGAGGAGGAAGGAAGGAAGAGAAGGAAGAAGGAAGGAGGAAAAAGAGAAAGAAAAGGGAGGGAGGAGGGAAGAGAAAGGAAGAAGGAAGGGGAAGGGAGGGAGGAGGAGGAAGGGAGGGAAGGAAGGAATGGAGGAAGGAAAAGGAAAGAGAAGGAAGGGAAGGGAGGGAGGGAGAAGGAAAGAGGAAGGAAGAAGAGGAAAAGAAAGAAGGAAAAGAAGGAGAAGGGGGGAGAAAGAAAGAAGGAAAAGAAGGAAGGAAGAAGGAAGGAAAGAGAAGGAAGGAAGGAAGGTTGAAGAAGAAGGAAAGGAGAGGGAAGGGAGGGAGGGAGGGAGGGAGGGAAAAGGAAGAGCGAAGGAAGAAAGAAAAAAAGGAAGGAAAAAGAAAGTAGGAAGGAAGGAAAAAGAAGAAAGGGAGAAGGAAGGAAAAGGGATGCGAAGAAAGGAGAAGAAGGGAGAAAGGAAAAAGAGAAGGAAGGAATGGAGGAAGGAAGGAAGGAAGGAAAGGAAGAACTAAAGAAAGGAAGGATAAAGGAGGAAAGAGAAGAAAGGAAGAAGGGAAAAGGAAGGAAGGCGAAAGAAAGAAAAAGGGAAAGATGGAAGGATGAAGGGGGGAAGAAGGAAGGAAGAAAACAAAGAGGGAGAGGGAAGGAAGGAAAGGAAGGATGGGTGAAGAAAGAAGAGGGAAGGAAGGAAGGAAGGAAGAAAGAAAAGGAAGGAAGGAAGGAAGGAAGGAAGGAAGGAAGGAAGGAAGGAAGGAAGAGTGAGGCAAGGCTCCTACAGACTCAAAGGGCATGCATCAAACCGGAGGCAGGTGCCGCACATGCCGCGCATGGAAGAGGCCTTGCTCGCTCTCCATCCTCCTTGGAAATGGTATTTCCAGCCGTAAAGATCAACGTCTCCAAACAATAATAAGGAAAGGCTGCCAACGAGTCAAAGGAAGGCCGCAACGTGTATGGATCGGCAGGCAGCGAAGCATGTCATGCGCGTCTGTCGCGGTGCACTTCCCTTTGCCGAGAACCCTTGGGAACCAGAAGATTTGAATAGCTGAGCCGTGCCAAAGAGGAGCCACATCTGCACACAGGCAGCATCGGTTATCAGGAGCGCAACACAAAGGTCGCTCGCTCCATGTGTTTTGAATCGTTCCAGGCCAGGAACAAAGCCAGGACCAGACATAGCTGCAAATGAGAGAAGCAGGGGACCAATCAATAGTAATAATAATAATAATAATAATAATAATAATAATAATAAGGATGTTAATTCCGTCTTTTACGAACCGTCGCTGTGCTGACACATGCTGGCCCCCCCTCTCTTGACCTTCTTGTACCTGCAGACTCTGCGCTTAACCACAACCTTTGGCTTAACCACAACTACTTCCTAGGTAGGCTTCAACTTTGTATGACCTCCACATGTCACGTCTTGTTTCTTAAAAACATTTTCTTCCCTGTTGCACCCAAAGAGCATCCAGTCCAACCTCATTCCAAAAACACAACTCGATCCCTCCCAACAGATGGCCATCTCTTCTGGAAACACAATCTGATCTCTCCTGAGTCCCGACAGGTGGCCATCCAGCCTCTGTATTAAAAATCGCCAAAGGAGGAGACTGCTCTGCACATCTATCGTCATTGAGTTTGGAAGGGGCACCCAAAGAGCACCCAGACCAACCCCATTCTGGAAACACCATCCGACCCTTCCTGACAGATGGCCATCTCTTCTGGAAACACAATCTGATCTCTCCTGAGTCCCGACAGATGGCCATCCAGCCTCTGTATTAAAAATCGCCAAAGGAGGAGACTGCTCTGCACATCTATCGTCATTGAGTTTGGAAGGGGCACCCAAAGAGCACCCAGACCAACCCCATTCTGGAAACACCATCCGACCCTTCCTGACAGATGGCCATCTCTTCTGGAAACACAATCTGATCTCTCCTGAGTCCCGACAGATGGCCATCCAGCCTCTGTATTAAAAATCGCCAAAGGAGGAGACTGCGCTGCACATCTATCGTCATTGAGTTTGGAAGGGGCACCCAAAGAGCATCCAGACCAACCCCATTCTGGAAACACCATCCGACCCTTCCTGACAGATGGCCATCCAGCTTTGGGGTTGAAAACCTTCAAAGGAGGAGACTCCATCACCCGTAATCTATTGTTATTCAGTTTGGAAGGGGCTCCCAAAGGCCATCCAGATCAACCCCATTCCCTTCGATCCGATCCCTCCCAACAGATCCCTCCCAACAGATGGCCATCCAGCCTCTGCATTAAGAACTTTGAAAGGAGAAGACTACACATAACACATAACTCACTCTCATTGATTTTCAAAGGGGACCCCAAAGGGCATCCAGTCCAACCACATTCTGGAAACCTTGGCCTTTTCTGCCATAGCGTCACACCCCCGGCTCACGTTCACTCATATATATCCCTACCGTCCAGCCGTGGCTGTATGAAAGGGTATATTTCTCTTTTGCTGTTAATTTCATTAGCATTTGCAAATTTCGCTCAAAGATCCTTTTGATAGCAATTGTCTTTTAAAACAGGACGTGCTCTTTGTGCCCAGCAGGACGCCGGGGTGCCTCAGCTGAGAGGCCCTATGGATTTTCCTAAACAAAATCTTTAAAAACTTGGAAAGTTTAACAAAGTTTATTGCTTAGATCTTCAACAAAACACACACATTCTTCTTAACTTGCCCACAAAGGATAGGCAGCTTGCTTTGTGAACTATATCTTTCTTTTACAAGGAAAATCCTCCGACCCCTTCCTGGGCAATCTGTCTTTAGGCTGGCTGGCTCCTGGTACAATTTGCTTTTTGGGTACCTGAGTAAACCTTACCTGCCAAAACTTTAAATTGGGCACAAATACACAATACATCCCAATTTGGGAGTTGTAGTTGCTGGGATTTATAGTTCACCTACAATCAAAGAGCATTTTGAACTCCACCAATGATGGAATTGAACCAAACTTAGTACACAGAACTCCCATGACCAACAGAAAATATTAGAAGGGTTTGGTGGGCATTGACCTTGAGTTTGGGAGTTGTAGTTCACTTCATCCAGAGAGCACTGTGGACTCAAGCAATGATGGATCTAGACCAAACTTGGCACATGTACTCAATATGCCCAAATGTGAACATTGGTGGAGTTTGGGGAAAATAGACCTTGACATTTGGGAGTTGTAGTTGCTGGGATTTATAGTTCACCTACAATCAAAGAGCATTCAATACTCCCAACAATGATGGAATTGAACGAATCTTGGCACACATGACTTCCATGAGCAACAGAAAATACTGGAAGAGTTTGGTGGGCATTGACCTTGAGTTTGGGAGTTGTAGTTCACTTCATCCAGAGAGCACCGTGGACTCAAACAATGATGGATCTGAACCAAACTTGGCACAAATACTCCATATGAACTAAGATGAACACTGGTAGAGTTTGCAGAAAACAGGCCTTGGCATTTGGGAGTTGTAGTTGCTGGGATTTATAGTTCACCTACAATCAAAGATTATTCTGAACCGTACCATCAATAGAATTGGGCCAAACTTCTCACACAGAATCCCCATGACCAACAGAAAATACTGTGTTTTCTGATGGTCTTTGGTGACCCCTCTGACACCCCCTCACGACCCCCCCCCAGGGGTCCCGACCCCCAGGTTGAGATACACTAATGCATATGAAGGAAGGTCCTTTCCAGATTGTCCTTAAACTGCAGATCTCAATGGGAGAATTGCGTGCTTCTTTCCCTCCGAGCATTGTTAGGAAGCACCAGTTAGGATTATTATTACCCACAGCCACAGGTGAGAGTACTACTAATAGTACTATTATTATTAGCACCCATAGCATTGAGCCATGGCACTTATTATTAGCATTATTATTACACACAGCCACAAGAGTATTATTATTATCATCTGTAGCATTGAGCCATGGTACTTATTATTAGGACTAGGATTATTATTACTCACAGGCTGATGCTATCAACATCATCACTGAGCATTGAATAATAATAGTAATAGTTTTATTACCCATAGCATTGAGCCATGGCTCTTAGGATTAGGATTATTATTATCCATAGCCATGAGTAAGGCTATTATTGTTAAAGGTGTTTGAAGAAAAGTTCTCACAGAACAAAATGGATCAGATGGAAATAACAACTGAAATTATCATCAAGTGCCTAGACACCATCGGGATTTGTAAAAACGTTGGCACTTTTATTGATGAAGCACTGGAAAGCTGACTTCAATTAAAGAACCTGCTTTAATTGAAGTCAATAATCGGAAACTTCTCAAAGCACAGCAGACAAAGAGTCAGTACAAGAAATTGCACTCCAAACCAGAGCTGACAGCTGGCACAACAAAGCCTTACATGGGCAGTTCCTTGAGAAGATTGAAGGAAAAGTTGACAAGGAGAAGACCTGGTGATGGCTCATGAATGGAACCCTGAAGAAGGAGGCAGAAGGAGGCCTGATTCTTGCAGCCCAGGAGCAAGCCATCAGAACCAATGCCGTTAAGGCCAGAATTGAAAAATCAGCGGATGACCCAAAATGCAGACTGTGCAAGGAAGCTGATGAAACCATGGACCATCTCCTCAGCTGCTGCAAGAAAATCACACAGACAGACTACAAACAAAGACACAACTCTGTGGCCCAGATGATTCACTGGAACTTATGTCACAAGGACCATCACCACCATCATCGAGCATTGAATAATAATAATAATAATACTGAGCCATAACAGTTATTATTAATATTAGGAATTTTTATTACCCACAGCCACGAGTGAGGCTATCATAATCACCATTGAGCATTTAATAATAATAATAATAATAATAATAATAATATAACCCATAGCATTGAGTCATGGCAATTATTATTATTATTAGGATTATTATTACTCACAACCACGAGTGAGGCTATCATTATCATCATCATCATTTAGCATTGAATAA